TGGCTAAGGACGTGGACAATATTGCATACAGTTAATGTATATATTATCTACATGGAAATAGTGTCTGAGCAGCTGTGGTGTGTTTGTTTTGTGGGGGCTAAGGTTGTAAATATTAATTACTGTTAAGGTATATACTCTCTCCATGAAAATACTGTCTGAATAAGTTTGGGATAGTATTTGGTGGTTGTAGTGATATTGATTAATGTTAATGTCTCTGATGTTTAAAGTGGATATAATGATAGCAATAATTAACCATGATATTTTTTTCATGCAATGCATAATTTAGGAGTACAAGCATAGTGTAAAAGTTACGTGGTCCACCCTATATATATAACCGACACTAACGGAATATCATCGATACTTTACGATACCCCGATAAGTGTCCATTAATTTTCTGAACAATCTTATCTATAAAAAATTGACAATAGCAGTGGCCCAACCAGAAATTTCAAACAAAGAAGGCATAACATTTGTTTTATACAGTGGGTGTAGAATGTATTCGTACACCGATCGATTTCGCAAAAAACTTTTGTGTGAAATTGTAGTTTCTCAACTTCTTTTTTTATACTCAATGACTCTCAATATTAATGATCAAAGTTAGGCCTTTTTTTCAGCCTCTAATTGATTCCTTTAATTAATTCCTTTTTTCTTGTCAATTTCGCGACTCCCATAAATAACTATTCTTTTTGCAATACTCTCAAAATTAATTATCAAAGTTAGGTCTTTTTTTCAATCTCTACAATGATGTTACCCCTTGATGAAGTTTTAAAAATTAAACAGTTGTACGAATACTTATTGCTTCAATATTTCTATCGATTAATTCCTTTTTTCTTGTCAATTTCGCAACTCATACAAATAGCTACTCTTATAACGATACTCTCAAAATTAATTATCAAAATTATTCCTTTTTTTTCAACCTCTAATTAATTCCTTTAATTAATTCCTTTTTTCTTGCCAATGTCGCAACTCACATAAATAGCTCTCTTTCGTACTGTATCTATTCTAAAGATTCCCAACGATACGTACAATATCGTATATAAAAAAATAAGTAAATAAATTACAATTACATATAGTCTTTTTTAAAAATTGACCTGTGTAGAAATACTTTCTACAGTTTCTACGCCCACTGCATCTGAAAAAATTGTATACAATACCATCTAACAATAACCCAGACAATATTAACCAAAATTTTCGTCATTTCTTAACAAATACAAGAATCAATTCCCTTCGCTTCTTTCTAGCTGCGCTCCCGACGTAATCGGCAATCCCATCATTACCTAGAACTCCGATTGTACATCGCGCTGTGCTCGTCCACCGGAAGGCTGCCATATCTCCGATGCGTGGGACCTCTGTCCTCCTCCAGGTAGCAATACCTGTCCCTGATCTCGGCGTTCTCGACCCTGACGCCCTCGATCGGTCCTTGGAACGCGAGGTTGCTTTGACCCCCGTTGCATTGTAGCTGCAACGGCGGCGGCGGGGGTGGCAAATCGTCGCTGCTTTGAAACTGCGGCGGCGGCGGCAAGTCACCGGTTCGATCTTCCGGTATGTACTCCGATTGTCTGCAGAACGAAGGATTCGTATAGCAGTGAACCGGTGCTGGCTCGGTGGTTTGAGCCATGGTTGTTTTTTCTATCAGTCCGTATCGCTTCGCGACCGACTCGTTCGCGTTTGATTAATGTCTTTGAAACGAGACGTTTTTACACCGCGTCCGTTCCACTAGCCACGAAGCACTATATCTTGATAGTCCACGCGCGGCACTGGACGTAAATGGATGACTCTCTATTAAGGCGCGCACGACGTTCGTCACGCGCATTTAGAGCTCCTTCCAGCGTTCATCGCACCAGTTACGAGTTACGAGAATCGCAGCCGGGACGCGCGAAACTACTAAATGGTTTTTTTTTAAGATCGATTCACCAAGATCACGAAGGCGTTGCTGACGTAGGAAGGCGACGTCCAAGTTTCCAGAGAGAAAGTCATCGTCTGCACGGGTGGCGAGATGACCTTTACCTCGGGATCTGGATGTCTCTCGCACATTTTCTTCAACTGTTGCAACTATTCCACGGTGTATAAAATCCTGGATTTTCTGCAATTATTCCACGATTTTCATTCAAATTCTTGGCGTTCTTCCTTCGGCGGAGGAGACTGTTCTTCGCGAGAGCTGAGGAACCGTCGTATCTTTCTCACAGGGACAATTCCAAGCACTGCTTCCTTCTAAAAATCCCCCTTTGAGCGTCTAAAATGTTTTCGGGAAAAGTCACAGTATTTCTCGTCAGGTTTCTCGTAAACTTCCGTATGGCCGTGAAATTTTCCTGGAAACGTTCACGAGTCCGTCGAGGCAATGCCCGGTGCTCGAATTGCGTTCGGTCCGTGCACTACGGTTGCCTTCAACGAACTGCAACACGAGTTCCCTCTTCCCTTAGGAGCAGATGCACGAAGGGCGTTTCTCCACGCGTTCCCAACGTGTACGTGAGTACGCACGCATGTGTGTACGTGTCCTGTACTACCTGAGGGGTTGTCAGAGGGTTCGCATAATACGGGCCTGGTGTCCCGTCACAGGGTGGGGGCCCTGTCACCTACGGTACGTTGCTTCCAACGTTTTCTATGCTACTACTACCCTCGATAGCGCGCCAAGGAATTTACACGACCGCCTTTCCAGAATTCCCCTCGTCGCGCTTCCGACGCGAGATTTAAAATTTAAATCCCACTCGATATTAATTTCTGCACTTTGGGTATCTGCACGTGCCCCATTCTCGACACGCTCTTAAAAATTTGCCGATGGCTACCGGATGTAAAGTTTTTATAGAAATAGACAGCTTAATTTCTTAGATGTTAATGTTGCGATGTTGTGATTACTTAGATGAAAATGCTGACATTTAAATGATATCATCTTTCATCACGTTCAATTCTAATCTTTTATTTAACGCGTCGGTCGCCGTGTCACCCATATATGGGCGACGGTGGTTTTTGCTGGAAAACTGAATAAATTAATTTTCAATGGTCTAAGAAAATGAATTTGTGTGAAATGTTTGAACTTTGGAGAAGGTACAAAAATAAATACCATAATAAATGTTTGATTACGGAGTCTGAAATAGTTAGTACATAAAATTTAATCACAGCAGACATTTTTAAGAGTATTAGTGTGGTAGTCAATGTGTTAAATCGATTGGACGTTAGGGAATGCATATGGAATTGACTTTAATCGTTTACCAGTCTTGGTTGTATAAATTTCATTATAGTTTCATAAACTGAAAATGGTGTTGAAATACAACAGAAAATTAAATAATTTTGTAACAAGTAATTTGGTTACGTGTTTAGAAAGATAAGAAGCGATATACATAACATTGTATCTTTGGGTTTTACAATTTACTGGTACATGAACTTTATTGATTTATATAATCCACGTTAACACTTGTTTATTATATATGTATTTAGACTATATACAGTCGGTGTAAGTATTCGTACAGCAGCCAATTTAAAATGAAATTAATAAGGAAAGAAATAAGAGGTTAACATTGAAATTAAGGCACTTTAATTTACGCAAATTCCACTCTAAAAATATGTAGTAATTTTGGTTAATTATTTCTTTCCCTACAATTTATTAATAGAATAAATATATAAAGTTTTATTTTTAATTGGTTCCTGTACGAATACTTATTACACTGACTGTATGTAGAATACGAAATTATGGAATTATTTCTCAATATCGAATAGAAACGTTCAAGTCGATTATTAAAGGTTGTCTGTTTTGTTCTGAAAACCAGTAAGAACTTCTTAAATTCCTAATTTTATTTATATATTGTAAATTAAACGAAAACAATGATATGGCAATGTAATATATTTACGTCAAAATCCTCATAACTGGCATGTTTACAAATAGTTTGTTCATTTAAAAATGTAAATTTTATTTTATTTTTAAAAATGAATTTTACCACTGAATAATATATTTACATTTAAATCCTCATTAAACATATATTACATTAAATTATATATTTACATTAAAATCCTCATAACAGGCATGTTTACAAATAGTTTCTTCCTTTAATAATGTAATTTTCATTTTATTTTTAAAAATTAATTTCATCATTGAATAATATATTTACGTTAAAATCCATTAAAATTTGATCATTGAATAATATATTTACATTAAAATCCTCATAACAGGCATGTTTACAAATAGTTTGTTCCTTTAATAATGTAATTTTCATTTTATTTTTAAAAATTAATTTCATCATTGAATAATATATTTACGGTAAAATCCTCATAAATGGCATGTTTACAAATAGTTTGCTCATTTTTAAATTAATGTTATCATCGGATAATATGTATATTTACATAATAGACGTTTACAATACGTGTGTGTAGTTTACAGTAGTAATTCGTAAGTAAAGCAATATCGTACGTTGAAATTACAAAATCGAATAACCTTTATGGAAAATATATTGTTATATTTTTTATTTTAGATTCTCGTCGGAGCCATTACAGGGTTGCAGAAGCAACCAGAATTGGTCATTCGACGTTCGGACTTCGCGCCAGGTTCTTTCTAAAAAAATTCGACCTGCATAAATACAATTTACCCCGCAAACCAAGAAAACCTAAATAGGTATTTAAATCGCAGCTTCCGTGGTAATTTTCTCTCTCGAAATAAAGATATGAACGGATAAGAACCGTGTCTAATATTTTCCAATGGCCTGTGTCTGTATTCGAGGTTTCGTAAATGGTTCGCAGTTGGTTGGAATTCCTTGTTAGAATTATAGTTGTAAACGTTACGGGCGCGAAAGCCTCGTGATCCGTGTGCATGTGTGCTGAAAAAGAACTCCAGTCGAGGGCACTATAGATAATTTTCTGGGCAGCTGCCGCGACCGTTGGGACGCGTGCCCCGATCGTAACAGCTGCTCCAATACAAACGCGTCCCGATCACAAACACGCTCTTTATCTTTCACTCTTCGTGCACCAAATACACTGTCGGCTCTTTCGTAGCGGCGAACGCCACGTTAACGGCCGAAAAAGTCATTCCGAGGAACGGGGAAGAATCCGATACGTTAGAACGCACAGTGTGTCATTTTAGCGATCTAGCAGGACAAAAGTCAATTTTCGAACTTCGTGAAGTCGCCACCCCCGAATGCGAATTTTGATAAAAATCAAATTCCATACGTTTGTCCACGATTTGTCCACATTTGTCTAACCATAATTTCCATTTGTCCACCCTTCAGAAAAAAGTTACACCACAAACAAGCCATTTGAAGTCAGCACACCTATATCGACCTTTTTTTAGGGTTTTCTTAACAAATGTGTCCCTCCACATTTTCTCCACTGATGTTTTTCGTTTGTACTACAATTATTTTCGTTTGTCCACCCCTCAGAAAAAAGATACACTTCGATTAAGAAGTTGCCAGCGATAAGCTCGGTTGCGAGTCATTTGTCTTTGTTTTATCAATTTTGTAGCTAATTATTTATGTCTGCGCGGAACCACTGGCGTTATTTGGTATTTGTTTGTTTTTTAAATTAATATTATTGACATGTTACATAAAAACGGGGAAAGAGAAATAATTGAAATATAAATAGAATGTTGCAATAGCCATTGCACAAGCAATTTCTGCATTTTAACTGTTAATTTGCATCCAACGGTATGTATCACACACATAATCACCTTAATAATTATTAGATTGATGCACATGATACGTAAATGTAAGTAGCGATACTACATTTTCCTAATCTATGCATAACCTTTTCCTAAGGGTTACACAAACGAAAACTTTAATTGATCAAACAAATAACGTTAGTGGTTCCGCGCAGACAGAAATAATTAGCTACAAAACTGATAAAACAAAGACAAATGACTCGCAACCGAGCTTATGGCTGGCAACTTCTCCTTAACCGAAGTGTATCTTTTTTCTGAGGGGTGGACAAACGAAAATAATTGTTGTACAAACGAAAAGAAAGTGACCTGAACATCATCATCAGTGGACAAAATGTGGAAAGGCACATTTTTTAAGAAAACCCTAAAAAAAGGTCAATATAGGTGTGCTGACTTCAAATGGCTTGTTTGTGGTGTAACGTTTTTCTGAAAGGTGGACAAATGAAAATTGTGGTTGGACAAACGTGGACAAATCGTGGACAAACGAATGTAATTTGATTTTTATCAAAATTTGCATTTGGGGGTGCTAACTTCACTAAGCTTTATTATTGACGTTAGAGTAAATATTATGCCCGTGACTAATAAAAGAACTTCATAAAATCAACGAAACTTAGTATTACTTCGACGCACGACTTTTGTCTCGCTAGATCGTTGAATTGTCACACTGTGGAACGGTGCTGAACGCGGGTAGGGCGACCAGCCGAAAAGAGAGAAGTCGTTGGAAATATTACTCGCGGCGACTTCAACGCCCGATCAGGTCACTTTTATAATCGACTCTGTGCTGGAAACGATTGATTCCGAACAAGAAGTGGCTGGGTTTCATGCTCGAGCGAACCCGTTGATTTTTACCCGAGATTCGAGAGACTTGGGTGGTAAAATGGTGGAAGGAATGTACCGTGACGAAAATAACGATCGGGGGCAGAAGAAATATAACGATACTAACTTTCGTTTCATTCTTCTCTTTAATACGTCTCTTTAGTATGTCTGCTCCTTTTGGATATCGGATTAATTATTTATTAAGTACAGCTATCATTATTTAGTTTTGAAAGATTTCTATTTAAGGATTAGGTCCTCTTCGGTATATAAAATTATAACGTGAGGTATCAAATTTATCAAATGTTTTTACGGCAGTTTGACATGATTGTTCGTAGAGTTATAATCGATC